CACTTTCAAAGGGTGCCTTAAGAAAGCGCTTTTCAAAAGCGCTTCTAAAGGTCACCCTTAGAAAGCGCTTTTTGGGAAGCGCTGCTAAAGCTGGCCTTTCAGAGGATACCTTAAGAAAGCGCTTTTCAAAAGCGCTGCTAAAGGTCAGCCTTAGAAAGCGCTTTTCCAAAGCGCTGCTAAAGCTTGCCTTTAGAAAGCGCTTTTAAAAGCGCTGCTATAGGATATGCTACGAAAGCGCTTTTTGATGTAAAAGTGTTGTTATAGATGACCTTTAGAAAGTGCTTTTAAAAGCGCTTTCGTAGGTAGTTTTATAATAAATATCAAAACACAATTCGTATCACTTTTCTATTCTCAGTCAGATTTTCTTCACGAAAAAACCCTAAACCAGAGCTTCTACGACGGTCAATGGCGCTCCACTTCTCTGACCAATTGTAATTTGTATTAGGTTTCATTTTTTTCCTCATCTCGTATGTGTTTGTCTGGTTTTCGTGTGCTTTTGTTTGGTTAATGATTTTGAGCAAGCATGGTTTCTACTGTCATAGAAGTTATTAAGAAGTTGTGCATAGAAGTAACATGCTAAGAGAGAAATAATGGAGAGTAACATGCTAAGAGAGAAATAATTTTTGTTTTTTAAGTTTTTAACTTAATCTTATCCAAATAAGCTTTTTAGTCGTTTAAAAAATTAACTAAACCTTAGTTTTTGTGTATTTAAGTGTGAATAGAGATTGAAATTGGGGGAAGGCATGGGATTGAGATTGAAATTGAAACGAAACACAAAATTCCTTCTCCTTCCATACCATTTTCCACTAGCTACTACAACCTTTAATTCATAAGCCACTTACCTCACTTCTCTTCCTCACGAAAATCAGACTTCATCCGCCTACCATCAACAAACCCCTCGCCAGTTACCTCCGCTCGCGAACGATTAATCCCTATGTCTTCCATCTTTCCACCTTCCACACTCACCTTCTACCGTCGCCTTCCATCCTACTGTAACAACACACTTACCCGTCATAACCCTTCATTTTTCAAAAGCAATTCCCTCCACCGATCCATCATCTACCGACGAGCTTCATCAACGCTGCTCGCATTCTCTTCCATCCATCGTTCTCTCCCCGTCAAGCTCCTCCACTCAAACGCTTCATCAGCACCTATTCGTTCACTTCTGTCCAGCTTCAAATCCAACACTCGTTCGCGACAACTCCGCCACTGTTCGGTAAATTTCAATGTCACTTTGTTTATGTTGTGGGTAGAACTGTCATGCTGTGGAAAATACTGTGATAAAATTCTGGAGAAAAAAACAATTTGTTATGCTGTCTGTGTTTGATATTTTTTAGTAGGAATGTTGCTAATTCTAAGTTTGGTCTGAGTAAGGATGACTGCGTATGTTTAGGTGATTTGTGTTAATTTCTTATGATGAAGTTATGAAAACAATACCATGCTTAATTGTGTCAAATATGAGTGAAGTTTTTGATTTCAATGTTTGTTATTCGGGTCGATTTTTAATGGTGAATTTGTGATGGCATCACTTTGAATGAATAAATGTTGTGTCTTATTGATTGAGCTAATTTAAAAGAGATTTTGGTTGACATTTTAGTTCATTCGAGTTCACATTTGAAAGATCAATTCAGTTATGGTGCCGTTATGTATTCCCATTAGTGTTTGATCATTTTAGAGATGAATTTTATTGAGCATCAATAGGTTTAGGTAATTACTCCCTGGATTTTGGTTTGTTTGAGTAAAGTTTGTTTTGAACTTGATGTATCATGTTTTGAATTTGAATTGATTAATGACATGACTCTGTTTTATGAATTATTCTTGAGTGTGTTTAAGTGAGTATAATATAGGTCATTGTTGTTCTTGTGGATGATATCATGTTGTGTGAATTAATTTGAAAGAGACTTTGATGGCATGTTTGTTTTATTTGTGTTGACTTTGAAAGTTTAATTCAGTTGTGACATCATTTTGTGGTTCTCGTTGATGTTGAACATGATTGAGATGAATTTTTGAGCATTATTTTGTTCTTACTAGTTGCTGGCCGGGTTTTGTTTAGGGGATTAAATCTTGTGTTGAATTTGATTCTTCATGATTATTTTGTTAAATGAGTGTCCTAAATGCGATGCCCCTCGATATAAGAAAAAGTTGTCTCCGACAAAAGTCTTATGGTATTTTCCTATAATTCCAAGATTTAGACGGATGTATCGTAGTGAAACCGATCCAAGACACTTAACTTGGCATGCAGATGAAAGAATTGTTGATGGAAAGTTTTGACATCCGGCAGATTCACCACTGGTTGTTGGTTGCTATCGATCCTATAAAAGAAGTGGTCTATTATCTGGATTCGGTTGACGGTGATTGGACAAATTATTCGGATATGAAGTTAATGATTGATACGTAAGTGAGATTATTCTAAATATTTGTGTGTATTTATATATTTAATTATTTTTGTGACATTGTTCTAAATATATATTTTTATTTTGTTAGAGCGATACAAGTATTCCGGTGTCAAAGAGAAGCTCGGGTACGACGGTCTAAATCAAACAACATTAATTGGATCAAAGTGCAAGTATATTAATTTCCACTATTTTGCTTATAATATTTATGCTATTTGATAAAACAATACAACTATATATTCTTATTTGTTTTTCTATGTAGTGTCCTCAACAACAAAACAATATAGATTGCAGATACTTCGTTATGCGGTTTATCAAAGAAATCCTTCAACTGAATCAAATAGAGATTCCAGTCACGGTATGGATTTATAACTTAAGATTTGTTTTATTATTTCTCGGATATTTCGTATAATTTTTTACTTTTAACTAAATCATGCATATTATGTTTTGTTATGTAGTACTTCGATGAATACAAATGTGCATATTACACGAAACTTCAGTTGGAAGAAATCAAAGAGGAATTGTGTCAATATTTTATTGAGCAAATAATCATATAAGGTCTGAATACATTATTATGTGAAAAGTGTTATGAATACGTTACATGTGTACATGGAATACCATATTGACCGTGTTATTATGTTCAAACCTCGCAGGACCAGGACCTTAATACATAATTGACTGTGTTTCTTTCATACATTAGGACTTGTTTAGTTGTTGTTAGGATTGATTTTGTAAGACTGATTTTGAGTTACAATGCTGATAACAATGGTTTTTATATATTTTGAGGTACAAAAATGGTGTATATATATTTTGAATTACAATGGTATACAATGCATTACCGCGGTTTATGAATTACAGGTTATGGCAACTGGTTTATATAAATAATATGCTGCAAACAATGCAGGTATATGAATTATATAAATTATACCTCTAAAAAAAACACCCCATGAAAGCGCTTTTTCAAGAAAAACGCTGCCTTAGGTAACCTATGAAAGCGCTTTTTTACAAAAATCGCTGTCTAAGGTAAACATATGACAACGTTTTTCCAGGCAAAAACGCTGCTAAAAGACCACCTATGAAAGCGCTTTTCCAGAAAAAAGCATTGCTAAAAGCTTACCTAAGACAGCGCTTTTCTAGAAAAAAGCGCTGTTAAAAGAAAACTTATGAGAGCGTTTTTCCAGAAAAAAGCGATGCCTTAGGTAGACCTATGAAAGCGCTTCTTCATAAAAAAGCGCTGCCAAAAGCCTACTTAAGAGAGCGCTTTTTAGAAAAAGTGCTGTATTAGGTAGACCTACAAAAGCACTTTTCATTAAACAAAAAGCGCTGCTAAAACCTATAGCAGCGCCACCTACGAAAGCGCTTTTAAAGACCAAAGAAAGCGCTTTCGTAAGTCTTTTTCGGCATAGTGAAAACTAACAATAAAGCTAAACAACCATGTGGACAAACAACTATAAAACCCAAAAGCTTAAACACAATTTCTGGAACAACAACGCGACCTCATATGTTTTTTCTTCTAAGTCAAAACATCTTCTAATCATTACTTTATAAACATGAATTACTTCTAACGCTCCTTAGTAATCGAAATATATATTTTGTCTTCTGACGTCATTGTTCTCATGTCATTTTTATTAGAAATATCTTTACTATTTAGACTTTATGATTATGTTGGACTCTTTTTCGATGATTCAATTTTAGGTTGAGACGGACTAAAAACAAGTATTTTACTAATTTCTACCTAAAAAAAACTAATCAACTCTCCGTCTTAGAATCTCGATCCTTTCTAGTGTCTTCTTCACACTTAAAAAAAAATTCTTCTTCCTAACTTGAGAAAAACTTTTCTTCAATTCGCATGTCTCGAGATTAGAATGATGTCATTCCCTAACACCATCTTCAAACTATCTTTAGCCTTTATCAACTTATACTACAAAAACTCGTTCGAGATATTCTTACTAGACTTCGAATTTTGAATAAAACTATCAATTATATTTCATATTATATTAGATTGGTAAGCTACCATCTCTTCAGGTGCAACTTATTTTTGGGTCCGTCCTAATAAAACTTTAAAAATTTTATTACTAATTTATTGTATCATGGATGTACGGTGCATATATGTGCATGATTGCATAGTAAGCGTTTCCTTAATCAATAAGTTTTGATAACTATCTTTTATATACAAGAATTAGGTATCCAAAAAGTCTAAAGACGCATATACCAAATATGATAAGATAAAGCAAAATATTATAGAACTTTACAGAAACAAATGAATAATAATATAGTTACTTTTCTTTGCAAAGCATGAGACATTAGACAACACAACTTTGTAAAGTGGAGAGGAAAGCAACTAGAATTCTTGACTAAATTCTTTCTTCCTTTTGTATTCAAATACAAAACACCCATTCTTGCACATCTTTTTTGGCATCCTCTTCAAGGTTCAAAGTCCTCTCTTGAATTCAATTTTAAATTTGAAAGAGAAATAAGGTAAAGAAAAGATAAAGAAAGAACAACGTGAAACAAAACTGGCACAAAAGCAAAATCATAGAGAATGCCCATACGATGAGATTTTATTAGTGGGAATGCCACTAAGTGCACAAACTTCATTTAATTTATTTATTTGCCTGCATGGAAAACAGATACGGACACAAAAAATAATCATGTCAATATATTGCTTAATCCATATAGTTTTTTTTTTCATTATTTGAATTGAATGTATAAGCTAAGGAAAAAACCAAAGAGACAAAAAAAAAAGAAGGTAATAGTACTACTTACTCTGTTTCCTACAAATCTTGGTCAGGAAAGCAAGAAGAATAACAAATATGGCTACTCCTGCTAATAACCCAATGATCATTGCAAATTTCTTTTCACCCAGCTTTCCTGCAAGACATTTAACAAAATAAATCAGGTAATCTATACAATATATTATCATAATCCAAATGGAACTCATAAGTAACATAAATTTTGATAGATATTTTTCCTCTACAAAATATTGGTTTTTTAACAATTGAATTTAAATATAAAAAATACAACATAAAAATATTGAAAATAAAATTATTCATAAATTCTATCATATAAATATTATAAAACAAAAACAAGTAAACTAATTTTTTATTTTAAATAATAATAAATCGTAATACTTTCACTAGTAATTATAAAATGAAAAATATGGATATTCCATTTTTTTTCTTAAAACACATGGATATTTTATTTTTTATTAAATCTACCAAATCCTCCAAGTCCTGTAACTTACAAATTAGCATGGAGTTGCCAAATAGGAAAATAAATGAAAAAACAATTACATAACAAAAAGTAAAAAAACAAAATACATGACATGAAAATTTTCATCTTTTACAGTTTCAAATGAAAAAAGAAAGAGAAAAAGAAAAAGCTGATCTTAGACAATTTTACAATTCAAAATAAAGCCACAAAATCTCCATTTTATTCCGTCTAATTAAAAAATAAGTAGAAGCATCAACAACGGTAACATGAGAAAGAATCCTGTATGGGCTTTACCATGGGCCTTAGAGCTATCATGGGCCCCACCAGTAGAATACCTCGCATAACATTTCCCCAAAAACAAATCTCCATAATCCGCAGTCCCACAATCAGTTTTCAACCGTCCGATCGCCTCCGCAACACAATCCTGACACTCCCCAAAACTAAGATCCCCCGTACACTGCGCCACACCCCGCACAATCCCGGACCCACCAACCCTAAAAGGCCCACCCAAGCCCACAAGCCCGCCAAGCACGGCATCTCGTGAGCCCATAGCTTCCGGATTATAGCCCACGGAAGGCCCGCACTTTTTCAACAAAACATTCTTATCCTCCACACCCAAAAAAGTAGCATTATCGTACTTGACCAAACACCCGTCGAGCTGGACCGTGCCTCCGCATGTGTTGCGACACATGTCGTCCGCCCGCGTGACTGCGCGTGCCACGCAGGACGCGCAGTCAGGCATGGCGAGGTCGCCGCGGCATTGGTAGAGACCGTAGATTATGTCTTGCTGGGTGGAGCCTAGTACGGTGAAGTTGTTGTAGGAGGAGTATGTTGCTGAGTTGACTAACGAGGTGAGGAGTGAGTCGAGGTTTAACTCGTAGGGTGAGTTTGGTGTGTACATTTGTTGTGTGCAACCACCGTAGAGGTAGAGGTTTGTGGTGGATGATTCTGATAAAGAAACACAAAGAGTTGTAGAAATAATAGAAACAAGAAGTATTTTGAAAAAACTCATTTTCGTATTGTTGGTTGAGTAAGTATTTATATGCATGGAATATGTGATATGATTTGGTATAATTTGCTTAGAATGAAAACTTGGATTTTGGTTTTTGGGGCAAGACCTATGAGTATGGACATGGAGTTGGTTTAAATAAGAGAATTTTTCATGGTATAGCCATGTCATGTCACAAAAAAGATGTAAAGCTTCTCTTCATTCATTTTACTATTGCGTAATGTGGTATCTGTGTGACCCTTTATTTTTTTTCTTGGTTATGTTGATCATTTGGTTTGCTTTTCTCTTTTTGACAACTTTAATTTGGTTTCTTCTTTATAATACTTTTTTATTTTGATAGGGTTTTGATTTTTTAAATTGAAAAATGATTGAAGTAATTATGAACCCTTTTCACTCTCGGCATCCACCGATAAATATCAGTTAAATAATTGCATTGTGTATCTACAACTTAAGTATATATAAAGCATGATTGAGAAGAGCTTAATTTACATCAAGTGTCTAATTTAGTATATCTAATATCTTTTTTTGTTTTGTTTTGATTGTTTATAAAATATTTTTAATTATTCATTGTGCTTTAGGGTGAGAATATACCAAATTAAGGTAGACTTTGAAAAGTTAAAATCCGACATGGTAACACAACTTGAAGGCATAAGTTTGATATATTCTAAAGATTGATATCAAATGTTAACTTAGTTTAAAGTCTATTTTGTAATAACTATTTTCACACAAAATCTAAGATAGGCTTAAATAGACTAATATATTAACATAGTTTTTATAACAATGTTATTGAATAATATGCTAATGTATAAAATATAATAGATAAATTTGATCTAAAATTGGGTTTTGAGTTCACGCATCTATCACGGAACAATAAGATTGACAATGTAAAAATGCATTAGGTATTATTTATGAGTTATTACCGTAGTAAATTACCTCTGATTTGGTTAATTAAGAAAAAAAAAATCAGATTTGACTTGAGTGACTTTAGTGATTGTGACTTGGTAACTTTAGTGTATTTTTAGTGTATTTGATAGATGAAAGAATAATTAAAATATGTTATTTGTTGTGAGAGGGTGATTGATTTAGAAGGAGACATAAACAAAGTTATAAAGTTACCATAATTTCAAACAAAACAAGTAAAGTAATGTATTCTATTGAACTATATATTATTATATTTTATAAGTATGCTATTGATGATGTCTTCTAACAAGTAAACAATGTTAAAAAATATGAATTATTAAAAAAGTATATTATAAATAAAAGTTTCTAATGATTTAACTCTGTACCATTAATTTCGAAATATAGGTATGGATCATAGTTGGATGAGAGCTAATCGATTAAGTGTTGAGTACGAACATGGAGTGATGGAATTTCTATAATTGTGATTATTGCATTTTGTAGGATTCTCTAGTTGAAGAAGCTGAAAAGGTACATTTATTTCGGATGAACGTACCTATGTCTTAACAGCGACCAGTGGAACATCTGAGTATGACAGTCATGTTCATGGTGTTGGAAAACACCATAAACAAAACACTTACTTTGGAAGGTCGTCTTCACATCAAGGACAATATATAGATGTAAATGAACAATTTTCACAATTTGCACAATCTTCATCTGAATTGGAAGCAAAAATTAGAGTTGATTTTGACCAAAAGTTGTTGAAGAGCGTAAGGCGTTGCAACGATCTTTAATGAAGACACTTGGGTCTATCAATTTATCGCAAAACACAGATAATAATAAATGCATTGAAAAAATGGAAGTTGTCGATGAAAGCAGTAAAGGAAGTTGTTCAGCTGCAAAAGGAAGCACAAAAGACGTGGAAGTTGACGATGTTCAGAGATTGTTACTCATGGTTCTGAAATGGCTGACACACATTTGGAAATGGAATTAAGTTATTATGTGAGTGTCACTAATTTCTATATGTTAGTTAAGTGTATCAGAGAGTTGTTGGTGGATTTTCATTGGCTTGACGTGTCTACTCTGCAAGTTTGGTGCACGTAAGTACATTTTCTTTTTTTATTACTGTCAATATCTATTAATATGTTATATCTCTCATCACTTTGATTCTAATGTTTCTTTTAAAATTGTTCAGGTATATTCATCGTGTATGTATTGATAATTCCACATCAGAAGTATATAGATTTATAGACCTTGTTAGGTGTATGTATGTTGATAATGTGCCGAAATCTGAAGCAGATGTTAAAAAATACATACTAGATAAGTTACGTGACGAAAACACAGTGTGTCACTTACTATCATTAATTCATGGGTAAGTTTTTATGAAATTGTGTTTTTAATTTTTTAATTTTGATAACATAAATATTTTATGTGATTTTTGTGTTTCCACACACATGTACATAAATCATTGGCAACTAATAGTCATTTGTCCAAGAGACAATATTATGTTAGTCTTTTGTTCACTTAATCGAGAAATTGATTAAATCACGAAGAAAATTGTTACAAAGTAAGTTTATCTTTTATGTGACTTTTGTTATAATATATTATATAACCTATATACATAAATTGTTACAAAAGTAATCTCATATTTTATGTGGCTTTATATGGATTTTTTTTCTTCTAAATTAGTGCTTTTGGGGTTCATACATGGCTTCATCCTAATATAAGCGTGATATAAATTATAATTCTATATTTAATTTTATGATAAGTATTCACTAGTTATGTCATCCATTTGTAGACAATGCTACAACATAACTCTAATGATTGTGGATACTATGTGATGAAAAATATGTTAGATATTGTCTTTGCCAATATAACCGAGTCTTGGATGCAGGTAATAAAAATAAGTTTACTTTGTTATTTCCTTTGCATTTTTCAACTTAATGTGAATTTCCAAAGAGAAACTTTATATTGTTATTTATGTATTGTAGGTATTTTATGACCCAACAGAATTAACAGAAGACGATTTGTATGATTTGTGACTACGGTGGGCAAAATGTTTCTTTAAGTTATATAAAAATTAAGCTTTATCTGGTAAGTTATATAAATATAATTTGAGTTTCTTGATTTTGGTGTTGTCTGCTGATGTTAATTGGTGTTATTATTTATTGTCAGCAAATATGATTTTGGTACTTTTGTACACTTGTGTAAACTTTCTTATAATTTTGTACACTTATGTGTATCCTAGATTAGTACTTTTATAAATTAATTGTTCATTTTGAAGAATATATATGTGCGTCCTAGACATTTGGTGCAATGAAATTACCTTTCACTGGTTAGAAAAATATGAAAATAGCGACCTAAATGTGGTATGTATGATGTGGTAAAAATATGAAAAATAGTGACCTAAATGTGGTCTGTGTGATGTTGGAAAAATATGAAAATTTAGGTACCAAAAAAAATTACAGAGAATCCACCTCTATTCAGCTAAAAAATAGCAAACATATTACATCGGGTCATTGAGACAACCGATGTTAAAACCCATATATCACATCAGACCAGTTAGGCAACCGATGTTAAATATTGCATATATATTTTTTTTAAATTATATTTTTTTCACATCAGACTTAACATTCAACTGATATGGTATGTGAATTTTACACATCGCGTTGTTGCCCGATATAAAATGTCTTTGATTTACTACATCTCTTGGATTTACATTGGACCCAGACACGATGTAAAATGTACTTTTTTGCCTGATTTAAAAAGTCTTTTCTACACTAGTGGTTGATCTTCTATATCAGAAAAGAAAAGTTGTGTTGTAGCACAACTGGTATGAGATATGAGATATCGAAGGAGATGTCACGATACAAATATCTGAGGACAATGTAAAATGCAACAAAAGTAAAATAGTAAAAACACAAGGGATTGTTAACCCAGTTCAGTGTACAACAACACCTACTCTAGGGGCTACCAAGCCAGACACAAGTCCACTAAATAGTATCAATTCATAGACCCACAGTAAACAACCAGTTTACGATCTAATCACTTAATCACTATCTGTGTTATACTTCTACCTAAGACACACCTAGGTATGAAGACCTCCTCAAATCCCTTCAATCACTTACAATGAAGAACTACATAAATATTAAGTTTTAAAGACTTCAATCATTCAGTACTTAAAAGCTTATGAATGATCCACAATTAACAAATCAAGTATTAAATCAATACTAGAGTGTATGACAATTAAAAGACTTAGACTTCTAAAACAGAAAGAAAGTATTCTTCTTCAAAAGTTGCAATTGAATGAATAAGTAAATAAGTCTTTATAAAGGCGCAGCAGTAGGCTTGAGATGAAAAACAAATATTCAAATCTTTTGGATATTTCCATGAAAACAGGCCAAGATATAATCCATAACGATAATTCAAATAGAAAAATATTCCTCCATATTTTCCGCAACCTATGAGTCACAAATCCTGAATTATGCCACGCATGAAAACAGGAAACAGAAAACTTAAACTGATGTGAGTTGCGTTCAACTCAGGAGGAAGATATCAAGATATCTTCTTTGACATCATTCAAAACAGTTTGCTCCAAATGTCAAGACATTTAGCAAAACATTATCAAAGCATTGTTTTACCAAAATTGCTGCCAACAAACACTTACACTTTTCGCGGGTTGTTCGGGGGGAGAAACTTGGCCACCTTGAGGGGAGGCGGAACCACTGGCATGGGCGCTAAGTTTTGCTTGTTGCTGGATCTGGGAAGCACGCCCTTTGGGCGCTTTTTGGCCAGCTTTTCCCCTCAGCTTGAGAAAACGTTCTTCGAAAGTGTCCCTTTGACTTGCAATCCAAAAAGGGATCAATTAGCCTTCACAATAAAATAGGTAAAAAATATTTATTACGGGAACTCCCCCTACCTAGGAGCCTCAGAGATTCTTCGTCAGAGGAACACTCGAGGAGTGCCTTTGTATTTATAAGACGGGCAACATACAC